TAATAGAGATTTTAATAACCCTCTTTCAAAGTTTTGTCACACTTTAATGTATCATTGGAAACATGTGCTGCTGTATTACACAAAAACTCATGCTAGTCCAGGAGTTCTGATGTTGTAGAATTTTTCCTTACCGAGTTGTTTACTTGGGATTATAATTTTTAATCTAATTTAGAATGTATTTGATAGCTCCCTAGCACTTCAAATTGCCTGTTTCATTTCAGAGGAAGTTGGCTTTCTTTTTCACAGGCAAAATTTTCCATTCTGACCTCTGCTAGGCACTGGAAATTCTAAATTGCCTGACCATGCCCATCAGGCTCAGCACCATTCTACCCAAGCTTTGTAATGTCCACAGCATGTCTACCTTCGTGTTATCATCCAATCTTCACAACAATAAGATATTATTATCCACTTCTTTTCAGATTGGAGGGACTCAGGAGTTGAATGACTGGCCCCACTTCACAAAGTTGCTGAGTGACAGAACTGGGGCTCAGATTTTTGACAGCAAGACCAAATCTTTTATTTTGAGATAATTACTTCACACAAATAAAAATAAGCTCCATGGCCTTCTTCTGCAGCATAGACCAAAAATGTATTAGATGTTACAGATTATATCTTATCTAATTCATGCCCTAATGACTTATTCATAGTATGAAATTTATTTTTGGTGCCAATCTAGCTTACTAAGTGGTAGCTACTATTTTAAGCACTTAAGTATGTTGCCTTTCAGTTTCTCATGTGCTAAGAATTTAATCTCCATTTTCGAGTGAAGAAAGTTGTTCATGATTACGCAGCTAAGATGCAGTCAGAACCTGGCTCTGCCTGACTTCTGTGTGCATGCTCTTAACCTCTTAACTTGATGTGGCATAAAAGCACTAGATTTCACTTTCAGAGACAGTTCTCCCATCCAAGTTTTCTCCATTTCTCAAGTAAGACTATTACCCTCTCTCCTGCCTCACTCAGGTTTTTTATACATATTGAAAGAAGTAATATATGTAAAGGAGATTTTTAAGATGTAATTCTCCATAAATAGATAATTTACTATTCATCTGGCTAATCTCCTTTCATGAGAAATAATGAGAAAGGAATAGCCCCCCACAGCCCTGCCACCTTCCAAGTATTTGTACAGTCACTTTGCACAGACAGGCTTTGATTACATGTGCCTGCCCCTATGGTGAAAATTCAGGGCACTGTGTCAGACAGTCAGAGGTGACGGGGATACCTTGGAAGCCTTATGGCACACCTCAGATCACTCTCACAGGGGTCACCACCAACTCAGCTCCTGCGCAGGGCTTGTCCTACTGAGTATCAGGGATAGTCGCACTTATAGAAGTCATTAATAGTGGCAATGATCCTTATAATGGCACCTGATGCCCTGCTGTGAGGAAAGATAAACTGGCTTCACCATCAAGAACTTACAAATTATACTAAGCAAACATGTTAACAGCTATTAAGAGTCCTAATCAGAGCTGGTAAACAAACAATTAAGAGATGCCATATAAAATACACCCATTCAGGCATGGCAGCCACGCGTATGGAATTTTACTGGAACCACCTGCCTCTGAGACTGAGATAAAGCCCTCACTGGAGTGGAAAGGACAAGCAGCAACATGGCATCTTTCCGAGCAGTCCCACTTTCTAGGATCGAATCTATGGATGCAGCTCTGCTCCCAATGGTGTATTTGCATCTTAAGATTCATTTTCAGTCTTACTACTATTTAATCAGAAAATTATTCTTGTTTCTTCAAATGTGACTTCTAGCTTTAAGTGGTGCTTCTTTCAAAGGGCCATGATAATGTTGATACAATCGAATAGTAAAAATTAAGAGGAAATTATTTGTTTAGAAGAAATTTCCTTCGCAGTCAGGATTTCAGGTGAGGATGAATTTCTGCCCCCCCCAGGTGTGTCCTCACAGTGACCTGGAAGCGTGTTGCCAGATCGGATCCCACTCTGAGGTCTTGCTCTAAACCTGCAGAGCCAGAATCTGTATTTTTACAAAGACTCCCCAGATGATTTGGATGTGTGTTTAGATTCTAAAAAGAAAAGCCCAACATGCAAAGTTTCTACAATCAGAAATTCTATCTGAAATTAATTATGCTTAATCATATTGGTAAGTAGAAGTTAAACCTTGGGAGGTGCATAAACAGTGTGACATTTGCCACCTACCCTATCCATTCTTCACCCTACCGAGTTTCACACTTGGCCTTCTTTATTACACACATCATGAAATCATAACCACTTGTTGCTGTGTGTCTGGAGGTGTCCTCTCCAGCATGGGCGCCACGGAGGGTCCAGGGCTCCAGCTTGCATAGTCTCTCGGCTGTGCTTGGTCACAGTCGTGAAGTCTCTCCTCCCTCCTCAGGCCTCGTGCTCCTTCACATACTCAGTCTTGCTCCCAGCTATACAGGACTCTGACACTGTAGGATAAAGAGCCCAGGAGGGGCGGGAGAGAGGGAGCCTTCTTGGCTTTGGGTCCACCACGTTCTTCCATGGCGAAAAGATACCAGTCTACGTTCAGCTCACTCCACCCTTGGCTAACTCTACCATATACAAATTGTGCTATGTTTGTGGATTGAGAGAGTTAATAGCTTTTGTATCTTCTCACTGGAAAAACCAGGGATGACTGAGATTAAACTTTACTGTTCATACCTTGCAAAGTATTTCTAGATTTATTTTAGCAGCAGGTTTTTACAATAGTCATGAACATCCCATAAAGTACAGGACGTGATGTGATTTTCAAAATCTGATTTCTTATGTTCACATGGGGAACTATTTTAAGACTATCATAAAAGTATGCCCGTAAGCATATGCTACGAAAAATAGAATCTCAGAATGAACAAAGAGGATTAAGTAAAGAATCTTTCATAGTTAAAAAAAAAAAAACTGTAGAGGAAATTATAATGATGTTCTTTATAATTGTCCTAAAAAAAAAAAACTCAACAACTCTAAGAGAGTTATAACAGGCCTAATTAATGCTTGAATTATTTACCCTGAGAAGCAGACTTTTTGTGTAATGTAAGAGGGTTTCATAGAAAATGCTCTTATTCCTATTTAGCATCTATTTCATGATTGTACCTAGGCTGTGGAAATAAACATGAAGAATTTCAAAATAAAATATAAAGGGGTTTTTATTTCTGATTTTTTATTTTGATTTGTTATTATCCTTACTCTTACTATACAAGTAAGATAGGAAATTTAAAACATTGACAATTTGTATCTAGCAGCATAGATTTTTCAAAACAGTAGCTATATTTCAGCTGGAGACAACTTTATCAACATTTTAAAATTATATGTATTTGGTTTATGGGATGTTTGGAGGAAAATATGATTGTAGTTATGGTAAAACAGTTTTTCCTCTGTTGGTATCTATGTCTAAATCACAGTAGATTGTGTGGTCATGAATTCTGGCACCACCACTTTCTAAATACGAGACTTGAGCAACTTATTTAACTTCCTTTGACTCAGTCTCTTCATCTGTATAATAGGGCTACAAATTACATCTACTTCTTAGGCTATTTTGAAGACTAAATGAGATAATGTATTAAAAAGCACTCAGTAGAGTGCCCAGCCCATAATAAGATCTCACATCATGTTAGATTTTGTATTGTTTTAATATCATCACATTCAGCACATTTTGACAGAAAGTTACTACACAGAAGTCATTCTGTCCTGCTCTGAAGTGCAAAGTAACTACATCCTCCTAAACATAATTATTTTCATACTTTAAAAGATAAACACAAAATTCTGTAACCTACACCTCAGCTCTCCTCGTTTTCTCACAAACTCCTCCTAAGAGTAGCCTGTCTCTATATCATTAGCTCCTTCATCCCTATCCATTCTTCATCCTACCGAGTTTCACACTTGGCCTTCTTTATTACACATATCATGAAATCATAACCACTTGTTGCTGAGAATGCCTGGGTGTATCTTTTTTCCTACCCTGTCTCTTTCTCTCCCTAACCCATTCTGGAAACTCTTGGTATGATTTTGATAAGTTCTCTTAGCCAACCTAGCAACAACTGGGTATAAGGTAGTATGCCAGGCAAGAGGATTATAAGGAAAGTGATTTAATCAAAGACCCAGAAGACTTTAAGAGTCTTTGATATAGAATTTATTTATTCTTCCATTTTCAGGTATTTCCTTTATTTTTATTCATATATGACATGATTTGTCTTTCCTGGCTGCCATTGCTAGACACTCAGATATTCAACACCTGGTAACATAGGCTAGAAATGAGTTTTTCCTTGCTTAGTTTTGTTTGGATAGTTGCTTCATTGGATGGACTTGGAATATAATTTAGGAAGGTGTGTTGAATCTTTCACCATGTTGTAAATTTTGAATCTGAAGTGATGTTGGGCCATCTGGGTAAAGAGATCCCACTGGCATTTGTGAGTCTGTGGAGTCTACACATGGTGTCAAAATTGGAGGAAAATCTTTGGAAATGGTCATTCTAGAAGTGGTTTCCTAAATCCACGTTCTTCGAGCTCTAACTCATGTCCCAATCACAATCACAGAACTCCAAGTGTATTTTTAGTGGAAGTATTCTAATTTCTCTGATTCAAACATCCTTAACTCCAGAATTTTTTAATTTCCATTTTCTCCCCTTCTTAATCATCATTCTTTCTATGTTGAAAGCAGTTTAAGTGCCAAACCTTGTGCTAGTCACTAGGGATAATACAGTGACCAAGATAACCACATTTCCTCCTGAAGCTTTTGTTTAATTGGGGAGTGAGTTGTCAATGAAATAATCATGAATAATTAGGAGACAAAGATGTCCGAGTAAGAGAAGGCCATAACTTATTCTGGGCTCCTGGAGGTCTCCCCACAGAGGGCACATGTACCATGAGACTGAGGAATGCTTGCGATTTGGACAGTATAGGAAGGGAAGGCCTAGACAGTGAGAAGCTCTTGTGGAAAGGCCCATAGCAGAGAAAGAATGTGACAAATCTGAAGTAAAAAGACCTGGATGACTGGAGCATAGTGAACAGCACAGAGAATAGCAGATGAGGAGGAAGATTGAGGCGGTGCATGTGATGGTTGAGTTGACTGGATGGGCTGCATGCCAGCCTCCAGGGGGCCATCAGCAGGTGTGAAGAACCCCTGCAGGTGTGAGGACCACCTGCAGACAGCACACCCAACAGAGGGAAATGCGAGCATTAGAATGTCCTTTCTTGTGTTGTGCCAAAATTAACTCTTTGAAAATTAACCTACTTGGTCTAATTTTTGCCAGCAATACTGATGCATATCTGGCATACAATAAACTGTACACATTTAATGCATAAAACCTAGGAAGTTTCTAAATGAGACCATCCCCAAGTGTGTGAAAATGTTCATCGTGTCTGAGAGCATCCTTGTGTCCCTTTGCAGTCCTTCCCTCCCCTTTGCCCCCACTGCCAGGAGTGCCTGGCACATCATATTTGTCAAGTCAGACAAGTGAATCTGTTTGGAGTTGATGTCTTGGTTTGACGTTTGGTTGGCTGTTCCATCTTTTGTAGGTCTGCAGTGCTATTCAGAATCAGGATTTCACTGTGATCGAAGACTACTGCACTGGCCTCAAAGCCCTGCTTTATCTGAAAAGCATCGAAGAGCTCCAAGACTGGGACGGGCAGAGCCCAGCCACCGTGAGTCATCAGAAAGGGAAGCCAGTTCCTCACATAGCTGACCTTGTGGGAAAGGTAAGTCTCGCTTCTGCTGTGTTATCCTTGAGAGCTCAGCCTCAGTCCATTTCTATTCAGACTATGTGTCCCCCAACAGTCTCCCTAAGAGAGGAGACACAGTGCCTGGTGGAGGGACTTGTTACTGTGGAGTCATTTTCAAGGAGGCTCGATTATGGCACTGTGATGTGTCTGCATGTGACCTTTATATAAAACCTGTATCACATAAGGCCATGTAAGAGGAAGAGACTGAAATTTGCAGTGTGAAGTGACTCCAGCTTCCTGCTTACCGTGGTGATGACTGGCACTCTTTCCGGGGGGGGGGGGGGG